TCAGTTGAGCATTCTTATTAAATTCTCTTAATTAAAACATGCATAGGAAATGATAGGAATCTGAAGCTGTTTGCAGACTTTTTTAAATGACTTTGATTTTCTATAATACAAAATTGCTTGCTTGGAAATTTTTTTTAATTGCAGCTATATTTTCCAAAATATAGGCTATCATCTGCTACTTGACAATTTTGTTTTCAAACAAACAGAATACCAGCAAATATAACTGACGGTTCATTTGCACTATGACTTGGGTAATTTAAAAACTAATGCATTAACTAATCTTCAACTCTCCTTTTTGTGCCTAAGAATTTAATAATATTTCAAATATTTTCATATCAAATAGTAAATTAGAGACTAACTTGGCTTTCAATTTGAGTGGTCTCATCAGTGGCCAAGCAGTTAATGTTTGCTGAATATTGGTAATTTGTCCCAAATTCTAATCCAGGCAAATGAGATGACTGCAAGGTTAATTTTTGCACTTTCCCCCAAATGCTACTTGAATATTAACCACTTTCCATTAGAAAATTTCACCATGAAAGCATTTCTACCCTTAGATAGATACCCTCAAACTGCTTTGCCATATTTAAACAACCAGTCAATGCCATTTATGCTCAATTTGTAAACTAGAAAAGACAGAAACTTACCAAAAACCAGTGTAGTTGCCCAAATATGAGACACAGCACCAATGGTTTAATTGCAAATACTCTCTACATTTAGATTTCCATTCCTTAGTTAAACTTATTTCGTTAGTTATTACATTTTGGTGGAGTTGAAGGACAGAGTAGAAATGCAGCCGTTAAAACCTTGACTGACAGGAAATTACCAAATATGTGCACAAATAGGGACAGTTTTTACAATTTTTGAATTATTTTATAAGAAGAATTTTAATAAATTTTAATAACAGTAAATGTAACAGAAATAATAATAAAGTGAAAATAAATGTTACAATAATTATCATTTATCATATTACCATAGCTGCCAAATTGAAATAAAAAATACCAGAGGGCTCACCTACTATAAACTGGGAGTTTCCAGGAGATTTTCAAGCTGCATCACAACAGCATTTTAAAAGAATTCAAAATTGATTTTAATTTTCTATTTAATGTATGATTCAATTTATTCAACTATTTACATTATGATTCTGTTCCAATAGATATTAATTACCTATTTTAACTTTTACATTCTTTGGCTAATATCATTAAGTAATTTCCTTAAACTTGAGATAATTCTGAGTAGGGATGAAAGGCTTCAGTTTAACAAAATACTTTTAAACCTGTTAAAAATAAAATTAAAAAATATATATACTCTTGTATAATTACATTAAACACTGTTGTATGGATAAACTTAGTAATGCACCATATATTTGTAAGACACTTTTTCCGTCCTCACCATGTGCCTTCATGATGTAACTGAAACAAATCTGGCTACCAGTCAGGAGATTTGGAGTTCATACAATCTCAATGACAGCAATGCCCATTTTTTAAATTTCCTGCCTCTAAAAGACTGAAAGATTGATCTACAGTGGCATAAACTAATACAGTCAAAAGTCGTTAATTCGGACACCCATAATCTGGAATGATCTATAATCCGGACCTCAAAGCTACAAACTTTCTGCACATGCGTCGCGTTGACGGCGTAAGACCTTTACGGCTGCGAATTTGCGTGTGTGCAAAATACGTTTATGAATGCGCGTTTAATGTATAACGGACAGGATAAGCTAAGCTAAAATTATCTAATTATCTATTTCAGTTAATGTTGCAGATTGCATTGTTACTTAATCTTCGAATTGGATCCGGCTTATTAATTTTTGCAGACTGTTTGTTAGAGCAATTTTATAAAAGTAAGCTTGAACTTTCGATTATTTCAAATAGAATTTCCGATATATATTTACTAATATGTAAAGGATATACAAAGCGAAAGTATCTTTCGGAGTCCATTAAACAAAAAGTGGAATTGCTGCAAAAAATGGATAAAGGCATATCCTTTGTTTATCTAAACTTTAACGTTTGTTTATCTAAACTTTGTTTATCTTTAACCCCGTGATGCGATGCGCAATGAATTGGAAGTTGATCTGTCAACACTATCCTTATCTTAAGGGCAGATGTTTTTATTTTATTTGGCTTATAATTGCTTACTAAATGTAGTATTTCTTCTCGATGTACTCCGTCTTTGATATGATTTAAATCAAATTCCTCGTTATTATATTCGCTTCCGATAGTGAAGAAAGTGACAGAGGTTATTGAAAACGAAAAAATTTCGATTGACAAATTAGTCGGTATTCTCGACACAGCAATTATAGGACTTGAACAGCGGAACTTTGTAACTGAAACAAGAAATTATGTCTGTTTATAGAATTAAAGAGAATGTATTATCACATAAAAAACGAAGCAACTTAAACAACCTTACATTGAAAGAAATGTTTAATAAAGTAAACAAATAAATATTAAGCTTTTTTTTTGTAAATTTTGATACCCTTTAGATCATAATTGTTCTTTATTTCGTAAATTACGGTTTCATATTTTTAATTTTATAATTTCTGCATGCCATTTTACCAGATTTAAACTGATGATCTATAATCCGGAAAAATCGATAATCTGGAATCACTGAAGTCCCGACGAGTCCGGATTAACGACTTTTGACTGTATGTGGTGAATGATAATTTGTCACCATCAGGATTAGCCAATTATGTCCAAAGCTCCCCGCTGTGATTTTGCAATGTATTTTAAATATGCCCTTCTAGCAATTGGATGACAGTACTGCACATTTTTTACATTTCCTGCCGCTAAAAAACTGAAAGATTGCTCTACAATGGCATAAACTAATATGTGGTGAATGATAAATCGTCATCATCAGGATTAGACAATTAGGTCCAAAGGCACCTGTGCTTTTGCAGTATATTTTAAATACACCCTTCTAGCAATCGGAACATCTGGAATTTGAATTCCAGAGAAGATGTTGCATATTTTTTCTGTTTCATGTTCCAAAATGCACCTAATGACACTGCATAGTGATTAAAACAAAATTAAATACAAGTATTCACTATTAAACATTTGGTTGAATCTTCGTATAGCATTCTATAGATATCTACACAGATTAAGACAATTCAGACAAAATAAAATTGAATAAGAAAAATTATACTGAAGACCACTAGGGATAAAAGAATGAAATTTGCACAATTTAGGTTTCATTAGTTCAATAATGAAACTTAAAATATGCAAATTTTATTGCTAAACACATGTTTTAGTAATGGCTTAGTTAAAAACCAGGAGATATGGTAATCTACTAGGAAACCGGATTATGTATTGAAAAACTAAGACAGTTGACAGCTAGCTATGTATTACTAATTATTCAAATTCAGGTCTTGATTACATTATAAATTCAGGTCTAAATGCATTATAAATTAGAATTTTAAATATGTAATGAAAATATGCTACATAGAAAAAGTTATTAAGATTAAAAAAAAAAAAAAAGTATTTTTAGATTATGCTCTTGTTGGCTATCAAATCCAGAATAGCTGCAGGTGATTTCTAAGTAACATTTGAAATTTCTGTTATTTGATTAATTAATTTGATTTGTATTATATGATTATTTATTTGAATGTTTATTATTTTATTATTATTTGGATGTTTATAACCTAATTTGACTTTTAAAAACTGATAATTCTAAATCTTAAGTTTAAACAAAAACATATCATGCTTTGAAAAAAGGGTTTTTGATTATTAACAGCAGTTTCTAATATAAAGAATTTATTTAAAAATATATTATGCAGTTAATGCCAAAAATATCTTTTGACATAAAATAACATCAGAATAATTTTATTTGTCGCACTTGCTATACATAGAAAAGAGAAAAATTTATATTCGAGTAAATTTTATCACTCTAAAACATCTAGAAGATGTTTTATTCACAATATGTTTCGCACATCATATGAATTATTAAATACATATGTGATACACCATTCTCAGATTGCAGATAAATTTCCTTGCTCATAAAAGAGCAGCTAATAAAATGGTATAAAGATAAAAATTTACTCTTACAGAACAAAAAAAAAAAAAAAAAAAAAAAAAAAAAAAAAAAAAAAACTTTAAACATTAGATTAACTTGCTATTATTTAAAAAATTACTTTTTATATATCAAATAAATATAAATATTTCAAAAACAAATAATAATTAACATTTTTTATTCATAATAAATACTTATTATTCATCATTAATAAAAATTAGAATAAAGAAATTCTATATGAATATTCCTCAGCAAACATTTATTTGGAAATTCAAGGTTCGTGAACTACACAGTCACTATTGCAATTCACTGAAGACTATTATAAACTGCATAAACCACATTTGGCATTATTATGGCTTATAACATATTTGTTATAAGTAACGATAATTTCAAAATGCACCAATGTATACACCCCTTATATCTTCGGATATTTTGAATAAAAAATTCTAATTTTTTGCAAACATGTCTAGAAATACATCTACTTTAAGATGATGATAAAAATTTTATAGGTTATAATAAATATTTTTTTTGAGAAATTCATAAAAATTAAAAAAATAAAGCAGAAAAAATATATTAATTTTATTTAGACTAAACCTAATTTCAAGTTATGAAAGAATAAATTAAGTAAGTTTAATTTAAAAACTGATATTATTAAATATTGTCAAATTTAGTTAGCACTGCGGGGTTAAAATTTTGACTGCTAATTAAAAAAAAAAAAAAATGCTGCTACGATTTTTTAAAAATTTGGCATTTCGGCATAATTTGAATTGTAGAACTGAAATTTAGAACAAAATCAACATGTCACTTCAGAAAATGTACAGTTCCACTTTTTTTTTAACTCGTGTACATTATCTTTTACAGGTTAAATTTTCTTTTTCCCAGAATGTTCAAGAATTAACTTTATTATCACAAACTAATATTTTCATTTAGATATAGATGGTATTAATTTATATTTAACTTATGCACAGTTATACTACAAACCATAAAAAAATAAGCACCTTTTTCAAACAGTTTTGGAACTCTTCATCAAGTTTTTGTTTTGTAGAATCAATAAAATTCTTGATATCAACCATTTTTTGCTTTATCCAATCAACTTGAGCCTTTTCAATTTCCTCTATTAAACGTGCCTCAAAGTAGTCATTACACTGCTTGTGCAATTCCTCTTTAGCTTAAAAAAATCACATCATGTATAATTTAGTCGATAATATTTCAATGTAAATTAATGATACATTGATTGTCAAAGAAATTCAAAGAATACATTTAAAAATACATTTGATTCTTGTTGGGTTTGAACTGCCCAATTTTAGATACATGTAATTTTCTCCAAATACAGTCAAATCCCACTTTAATGCACTTCATAAGTTTTGTTTGCTGTATCAAATCCAATAAAAAATGGATTATCTTATAAAAACATGTAAAAATTGAATGATGAATAAAGAAAAATCAGATTACCATTGTAACATCTATCGAAAGACAGTAATAAATCTGATTTAAAAAATCCATATTAAGATTTATATGGGACTATTATTATGTGCAATAATAAAATTTGCTTTTCATTCTTTTCAGTCCTTTTAAAGTTGTGTAAGATATGATTACTGTATCCTCATTCTCCTGGAGCTGGATACCATCCTGTCTCATACAGCCTTAGTTTAAAACACAGAGAAATATGAGTCTTAAAATAAAAGAAAAATAATGTATAAGTGATTTTCTTTATGGATGTAATGTGAATCCTAATATCCTAAACATGGATGATTTTAATTATTACTTATTTTTTCATTAAAACTTGCAAAAATCTCAGGGGGGGGGGGGAATTCAATGAAGGATGTCTATACAGTTTGTTATATTCAATTTTCATACTCCAAGAGGTTCATTAAAACAGTATAAAATAATATTAATTACATAGGAAACTGGATGGGACTGAAGGTTTGTTCATTATATCCAGAGGTTCATTACAGCAAGATTTGAATGTAAATTTTCTGAGAAATTTTGGGATATTAAAAAAAAAAAAAAAAAAAAAAAAAAAAAAAAAAAAAAAAAAAAAACCACTGATAAATAAATTGAAGTAAAAAAAAGTAAAAAAAAATATTAAGAGTACCATAAGTGCATAAAATATATGCAAATATTAAACTATTTTATCGCTCAATACCACAAAATAAATGCAAAACTCTTGAAAATACTAAAATTCATTGGAACAAATACAATTATTAGAAAACAGATACTTACAGACTTCAACATAGCACAGTTACCAGTGAGTTAAATACAAGCTAATGCAAGATAAACCATAAAATTAACTGTAGTAGTACAAAAAACCTTAAACAATATGATAATGAGCATATGTAATACATTTATATGGGTAACTTAACAAGTAAAGAAAAACAATGGCATTTGAAAAAAAAAAAAAGTTGATTTGTTAATATGTACTTTATGCTTTTAGAACAATTAATTTGTAACAAAACCTCATTTTTGACATCGAGTGTTAATAAACACTATTTATGGTATTTTGTGATCTGTAAAGATAACATTAATGTAGCTGTTAAAATACAAGCAATTCATCTTGTAAACAGATGGTTCAACAGCAAGAAAATTAACTGTGAAGAAGTCAAAAACTATACATGGAGTTAGAAGAGTGTAGGCTCTTAGTACTCCCAGCTTCTTGAATAGACAATTGTTCAAGGAATAACTGTATAAAATAAACTTATGGGGGAGGACTACTTTTATGCACTTTTTCAGTGTCTGTAGTAGATTAATAACTTCCAGATAATTACAGAAGAATTAGCAGAAAGTTATTTTGTTTTGCATTAATATACATAGGGACATGGGAATAAATTTACATCCCATGAGCCACTACAGCAGATTCATGATAGCACTAAGGGGGTGATAAGCCCCTATTGGGCCCCAGCTGATTTTCTATATTTGTGGTATAGAGAATTAGATGTATGTAGTAAATATATAGGTATATAGGTAGAAATTCAAAAGTCCTACCTATGTACCACTGAAGAAAAAAAAATAGTTTCATCTCAATACTCACTTACGTAAAGATTCTACATTTGTGGTACTAAAGGTTCTAATAGTTACAAATGAGTATGAAATAATAGCATGAATATTTTTTCAGTATTTTTATTTATACGAAATGCAGTTAAAAACAAAATATTACAAAAAACTTAATAATTACTACATCTTTGTCATTCAACTTTTTAGTCAGACCAACCAGCAGCACTTTCTAATAAATCCAGATAATGCATTATGATTTTAATGTGTGATGCCGAGTGTGTCTATAATAATAACCAAGAAACCACTGTATGGACGCAATATGAATGCAACAGCCCACTATACAACCTCTGACTTTGCATTAAACGTCAAATTGATTATACTGAATCCATAAAGTATATACTTTCGATGATGTATGTTTGATTTGAATGAAAACCCTTTTTCTCAAAGCATTCTTTATGAATAATCAGCTTGTAAAGACCATGTTCTTCCATGTTCAGTCCTATAATTCTCTGGTTGCTTCAACTGATAGATGGTCAGTCCATTGTCATCAAACCACAGCCAGTCCTCTCAGTTCTTCTATTGTTAAATGTGGAAAATCTGCCAAACATCTTATCTGTCATTTCTTGTCAGATAACTCACTTTTTACTATTTACTCGTTTTTGTAAATCATCTGAATGATATGACAATGCCAACATCTTTTCTGCAATTATTCTATCTTCATCATCTTCTGTTATTCTTGGAGATCTAAATAAATACTACACACTGTTTTAACATAGTCATCTATTTATGGCACTTGTGAATTAGGCATTGCATGATTAAGTGCTTTAAATGTTTTTATTAGCTCATTTGCAGCTTCTACCACCCATTTTGGATCTCATTAATTAAGACTCAGTAGCTCCTTCAGTAAGTATGTTGGTTTTGGATCTGCAAAAAATGTCACACTCTGATGATCAAGATAAGTTCTCCATTAGTTTGATACTGCCTCTAAATCCCCTGTCATCTATTATAATATCATCTTCAAATAAGGAGTTTCTTAATTCTGCCTGTTTTCTTATGTAATCTGTTATTGTGGAAATATCATTATGTTTTCTACCAACAAAATAAGGCCCTAAAACATCTACAGCATATCCTGTTGTACTCACACTTAACAATGGTTTTATAAGTGGTCTACCCTGGTGTAACGAACAGGTTTTTCTTTGAAAATTAGCCGTTAAAATTCCTTTCTATATATGATCTATATAGATGTTTGAAAAAATAGTAATTTTTTAAAGCCTAAAAGGGTTTTATCGCTCCCTTCCTCCTTAGAGCTTTCTTTCTGCATTCTTAATTAAGCCACATCAGTTACCAGAACTGAATTTATCTCTTAAGAGATAATGATATTTTACATAAAGGGTCTTTAGCAATAACAAATTTATATGAAATTGGTAAACATTTTACAAAAGTTTCCTAGTCGTTGAAGTAAACTTACAAACAGTTTTTTTTTTAAACTGAAAAGAAAGTTACATACATCTGATCGCTGAAGATTTCAGTTTCGAAAGTTTATATCATGTGATTTTGACTGAAAATTAGTTGCGTCATATTATTGAAAACTTTATGCACAGTCTAGTATAAGCAAAAAGAAAACCATTACTTTATCATCTAGGAAATGACAGATTGTAAAAATGCTGAAGGAAACTTTTTAAAACATGCCAAAACAGGTGATGGAATATACTATATAATATTGAAATAAAGATACAGTCATGACAATGAGTGGAAAAATCATTACTGAAACTAAGAAATATATATCAGAATAAATTAAATATCAAGATCATTATTTTTCAGCATTGGAAAACCACAGTTATTTTGAGTTTGTTCCCCATTATCAAACAATTTACAGAGAATGCTTAAGATGAGTGATAAAAGCGACCAAAAAAATGAACAACAGAATTAATAGCTCACCAATATAAAGCTCTTTCCTTCTTTCCTATTTTTTCAATGCATTTTTTGATGAATTATAAAGGGATTTCTCTTCATACTACCTGATAACACTTTGTATTAACGAATTCAACACATTCAGAATCACTACCTCAATAAATATTTCAGGCACGTATATCAGCAAGTACTCAGTGTCAGTACTTTTTAGAGCAAAAGTAGCCATTCATATGAATTTTCTGTCTCATGGTCTCACCATTAACAGTGATTGTTAATACACAACCTGTAACTTACAGAAATCCTGCTTTAACTTAGTGTAACTTCACTGCAGTGGATCTCTCTCTAAGTGAATTTCACTTGTTGAACTCTTAAAGGAACTTAATGTATTTATGTAAAAGAGACACTAAAAAATAAAAATTATTTTTATTCAACTGAACGTGTTTTCTTATTGTGAAAACTAAGTTTTTCTTTAATTTCTCTTGAAGACTTTCAGAAACATAACTAGGATTATTTTAAAAACAACTTCAAATTTTAGTACTTTGGATAAAATTTGTAGTTAAAAGTATTATTTTTAATTATCTTATTTCACAAGGAAAATCTGTCTAATGCTTTAAAAACGTCTGATTTGTGTTTTCTTTGATTCAATACAAATGATTCTCTTTGTCTCTCTCTCTTTTAAAAAATAAATAAATAAACCTGAAAGTTTTCAGATTTTAAATTACTTCCAAAGAGGTGTTTTTTTTAATGTTTTGTGAGTTACCTTTATTTATTAAATATCATGTTCTTTGTACTTAAACATAAAATTCAGTTCAACAGCAATGCTGCAAAATAATTTTAAAATGAGCATATCTTTAGAATTTCCGATACACAGTTCCGCACGCTGGAGATAAAAAGTCATCCCCCCCCGGTAGAGTGTTGCCATTGCTCGCTTTTAAATTGGTTGAGTTTGTTAATCAAAAATTCATTTAAAGTTTCACAAAATATGAAATCGATAATAAAACAATTTCTGAATTTCAAATTTGGGCCCCTACTTGAATTCAAAATTGGATAGCTCTAGGTACCGTTGTTCTATTACAATGCGTGAAACATACATTTATTAAGATTCTTCATTATTTAATTTCTTCAAATATAATACAGGGTGATAGTATTTGGTGGTAATGATTTGAAAAGTGATGCAGCCTTTTAAAGTTTTCAAAGCAAAATTACAAAACGAAAACAATAGTCCTTCACCTTTGGACTAATAATGTAAAGGATAAATTTTATTATCTACAGTTTTGACATGGTCAACTTCTATCTAATATTTTTATTCTTTTATATTACTGCATCATCCTGTCTAAATAATTTAAGACCGGGTTTTTCTTCCAATTAGTAAATTTCAAAAAGATGCTCTAAAAGAATAAATCAGAAATTAATATTGTTCATAAAGATATAAAAAGAATTAACAGCAAATACAAGTAAATTGACTTCTTTAAGAAAAATGTAAGTAAAAACTACGATGTTAAACAACATGACAAAAATTTAAATGAATAAGTGATATTACACAAAATTTAAATAACTAAAGTTTACAACAATTAAAATAAATAAAATAATTACATTGCTTTAATTTCTTTTCATATTCAATTTGAAGTTCCTTTTCAATTTCTTCTCTTTCTTTGGGCTTAGTAATGTTATCTAATTTTAACTGCAGGGATTTATTTTCTTCAATCTGATTCAAATACAGAGATTTCGCATCATGTAATTGATCATTCAAAAATTGTTTCTCTTTCCTGTGGAGATAATTTTAAATACAAAAAATTAATAATGAATACAAGCATGCAATATATACACAGCTTATATTAAACTTTATAATAATAGAAGTTAATAAACAAACAAGATAAACAAATTTGGAGCCAATGGCTATTATAGTTTCAAGAAATTAATTTTAATAACCATTAATTAGGGAAGGGAAAAAACACTCCAAATACGTCTCTTGTGGGTAATAAGACGACTGTAGTGACTCTACTGACAATGTTAAAAAAATTTGCATAATCTGTTATTCGATATATATGTTACATCTCCAGTTGATCTTTTTAGAAACAAAGTATTAAACTTTTTATAAAGCAATAATGTAATTACTATTATAAGGTTTGAAATGTTAAAATACTCAAGAAACTGATTCAGGTATCAGATTTAAATATTATTCTTAGATTACTAGATTATGATGACTTCATAAGGTATTTAGTATCAAGTAGCATCAAACTGATACAGAGTCAACTTTTGATTACCCAGATTTCAAATTAACTGGGCTCTATTTTTTTTTTTTTTAAAGGGGGTACATTTGTTTATTGAGAATGATGGTAAAATTATTGTCGTAAATCATTAGGTAAAACAGAACTGACTAAAATATGAAAAGGGTAAAAAAATGTATGATATGTGACAGCAGATAATGTCATAATCATTACACAAGTTCATTTCTAACGGTGTTTTTTTTTTTTTTTTTTAAATTTTTTACAGCATGCTTTTCTGCTTTAAATACTGATTTAACCCATGGAATCAAATGAACTTAAACACATTCAACTGCTTAAAAGCACAGGTAAATTATTGATAGCATTTTTTAATAATTATAATATGAGTAAATTTCTTGTGTTTCTTGAAAACTGCCCTTGGATTAATCGTGATTTTGAATTAAACATTTATGTCATCCTTGGTACTACCCTGATGGTTACCTGTGAAACAAATACCTTTTATGATGACATCATAAGGTATTTATTCCCTCCTTCCAGCATGCCTTCATGGTGTAACAGCAGCACATTCGGCACACGTTCGAGAGGTCCAGGTTTGAGTCCTGAAGCAAGGTGGTGGATTATTATTCTTCATCACCAGGATTTGGCAACTGGGTGCCCTAATCATCAGTTGCCTTTAAAAGGGGGGTTACATGAGGTATTTTCTCCCTCCTTCCAGCATGCCTTCATGGTGTAACAGTAACACACTTGGCACATAATTGAGAGGTCGAGGTTCGAGTCCCGGTAAGAGCATTGCCAATTTTTCCTGTCTTCTGCTTCATAATAAACTTAATAACTTTACAACTTTAGCTCATTTAAACTGTAACTTTAGCATTTAATTATGAACTGACAGATAAAATAAGCTCTTTAATTAAATTAATTTATTAAAATTTTGCATCATCATAAAGAGTTTTCCAGAGAAGTCATGGAACCAACTGATTAACTTTAGCTACTTTAATTAAATTTCCTAAAAAACCAATGAATGACTGAGAATTTGAGTTTCTTTATTACCTCAACAATCAGTTTTAGGAATCATCACAATACTTTTATGCTAAATAATATAATATGTTTATATTATTTAACACTATAATCAAAAAACGTTTTTATTTAAGTAATATGTCTAAGGCTTAAAAATAAAAAAATCTCATTTTTTTTTCAATAAGATAAGGTATTTGCAGTCTACTTAAAAGATCAAAATCATTAAAAAGAATTATTCCCCCCCCCTCGGCTAAAAATCATATATATACAGTACAAAGACTAAGATCTGGACTCTGTGATTCTGGATTTGGTACATTCTTCTGCATATTAAAGCATGAGTTTAAATTTAGTAAGATGACAGATAGAAATTATAAAACAAAAATGTGAAATAATGAAGCATTTATGAATTTGAGGGAATTAAAACTTAGAAAAAAAGTTCAATAGTTATTTGTTTGTTTTAATTAAACACTTCTTTCAATGTAAATTATTTAAGCCTTGAGATTGCTTCCTTTTTTTTGTGTCAACACTTTCTCTTTAATTCTATAGATAAGCATAATTTTTTGTTCAGTTATAAAATTCCACTGTTCAAGTCCTATAATTGCCATGCTGATAATTCCCACTAAATTCCCAGTTGAAATTCTTTCATTCCCAGCAACATTTTGTCACTCTCGTCACTATTGGTAGTGACATTTTTTGGATTTTCTGCATATTTCGCTGTTCATTAGTTAATTGGGGCATTGCCATAGAAATGAAAAACTTATATCATTTTCATTTATTATCACTTGTTCACATTTCTTCATAAAATTCCTCCATTAATTGGAAAATTTCACCTTTTGTTTGTGATGATATCTGAAAACTTTCAAACTCAAGGCTATCATCATAAAGCACAGCCACTACATACTATTGATGATGTATCATTTGACTAGATACTAAAGAGGTGTGGCTCACTAAATTTTCTTCTGCTTCTATTGCATGCTGAAGTTAGCTCAGCATTACAATAGTTATTCATTACACTTATGTCTATTTCCTGCATATACTTTATGCTTATTAGAGTCCCAAATAAATAAATTCTTATATATACTTAAGGTTTAGCTGCACAACAAATCAGTTCCCATTAATTCAAACAGGCCAAAATGTAATCCTTTGGTGTACGAATATCATTTATAAAATCTGTTTTTTGCATATGGAAAGAAATTTCTGTTAAATTACTCCTTTTCAACATACTTAACATATCAAAGTGCAGTTAACTGAATTATCACCAAGCGTTATGTCAACATAAAAGGTTACCACATTCTTTGGTATTGAATTAGTAATGTGTGTGTGTGTGTTTATATATATATATATAAACATATATTTCATTTGAAATTTAATTCCTAAAAATTCTATTTGTTTAAATTTTTTTTTAGTAATTAACAACATTTGGTTTTATTTTTGGTTTTGAATTTTCATTTTACCCTTACCCACATGTATGATGAAACACGAATTGAATAATTGAAGAGTTAAGTTTGGAGGCAACTTCCTCTTGATAAGTCTGTCTCCTGCCTGCTCAACAATTATTCACTTATGCATTTTTTATAAATTTTTAGGATTAAAAAATTTATTGGAATTATATTTTTATTCATAGATTTTATACTTGCATTTTATTTACATATGCTCTCAGAATTTAAATGATATTGTAGATTAATTCACAGCAAATATTCATATATTTGTAATTCAATTTCATTTAAAATTTAATTCACTCTAAATTTGCTTTTTACGAATAAAGAATGCTTGTTATATATATATATATATATATGTCAAAATACAAGGATGTCAAAATGCTCATATATATATATATATATATATATATATATGAGCATTTTGACATCCTTGTATGAATCATTTCTCAAGCTGCCATATGTCACAATAATCATGTAGTGATGAAAGCAAAAATATAATGAATAAATAATCATTTGCCAGGTTGGCATCAGGCATATCAGTTATTCAGTAAATGTAAAATCAATGATGCTTCAGTTTGAGATGTGACAAGCAAAAAGGTGACTATAGAAATCAATACAAATCCTAGAAATCCTTTTTTTGCTGCTATGCAAGGACTTTTATGGTTACTGTGTGGGGGTTCTATTACACTTTGCATTGCTTTTAATGCTTATACAGTACAAATTCCATAATCTGGACTCGTCAGGATTTAGGCGATTCCGGATTAGGGGTTTTTCCAGACTACAGATCATCAATTTAAACCTGGTAAGATGGCAAGCAAAAATTATACAATTTAAAATACGAAATCGTAATTTATGAAACAAAGAACAATTATGATCTAAAGAGTATCAAAATTTACAAAAAAAAAAAAAAAAAAAAAAAAAAAAAAAAAAAAAAAAAAAAAAAAAAAAAGCTTAATATTTATTTGTTTACTATATTAAACATTTCTTTCAATGTAAGTTGTTTAAGATGCTTCCACAAAAAATTCAAAAAGTTTTTTTTTGTGTCATATATAGTGGACTTTCCAATGCCACACTTCTCGCATAATTTTGAGACGGATAGGCCTTTATCCATTTTTTGCAGCAATTTCACTTTTTGTTTAATGGACACTGAAACATGCTTTTGCTTTGTAGATCCTTTGGCAGCTCTAGAATTGGAAACTTTTTTTGACATAATCGAAAGTTCAAGCTTAATTTTTATAAAATTGTTCTCACAGTCTGCAAAAAATAATAAGCCGGATCCAATTAGAAGATTAAGGAACAGCGCAATCTGCAACATTAACTGAAATGCCTTAGATAATTTTAGCCTAGCTTATACCGTCCGTTATACATTAAACGGCATGCGTAAAGGCATATGCATTTAAGCATGTGCATAAAGTTTGTAGCTTTGAGGTCCGGATTATAGATCATTCCAGATTACAGACTTTGTACAGTATTTCGCATACTTCCCTTTTTATTTTCGAAAGCCTTGACTTCAGTTTACTATGGGGAGCAAACGTTATTTATGAGAGGAAAGATATACTCGCATAATAAATGAGCCAATTAGTGACATGGATGAGAGTAATGGTTCCTTTTCTAAAGAATTACACAGCGATATATCTAGTAATTCTCATGTGAACATTCTGTCAGAAACTGAGCTCACTGAATGTCTGTCTTTCACTTCCTGTGAAAAATTTTTTTACTTCTTCTAAACAGTCATTCTTGTATTTTTTAAATTAAGTTTTGGGTTTATTAATGTATTTTATCAGTTAAAACTTTGGAATAATCTGAATAGTGCTTCTGAAAATTATATCTCAAAGTAAGCAATTTATACATATATTCATGTAAAGTAAAGGGAAAAGATTATTAAGCGTTAATTTTAACATTACAAGACAGCTTAAGTAATAATTTAAAATAGTGTCAAAAGTTATGATGTTAGGACTTAAACCCTTCATTTGTGATTTTTTTCCCTAAAGGTAGGCTTAGTGATGCAAAAGCCCCACCATGCTGGACGATTCCTTTCGATTCCCATTTGTCCCAAGGGAACATCTTAAGCAAAGGTGTGCCGTCTCCGAAAGAACCAATAGTAAAGTTTTCTGTTAGCATAAAATAAAACACTTATTTTAGATATTATTCAATTAAAATTAATGAATACAGGAAGATAATTTTTAAATCTTAATTTACTCATTTTCTTAATAAGCACTGTAATTTTGAATTTAATCATTAATTTATGACTATACATTAAAAAAAAAAAACTGTGTATAATAGAGATACTAAAGCAAGTGAATGGCCTTCATATAAACCCTGATGTCAAGATTATCAAACATATTTAGAAAACATTGGTCAGCCAGGTGCAGATCAGACTAAATTGTCCATTATTACTGACTGAATTCTTTAACATTTCTATGGAAGAATGGCTGAAACACAGGAGGCAGCAATAATTTAGTTTAAAATAGTGTCATTTTAAGGAAAGAAATTCAATTGCTATTATTTGTCTGATTTTATGCAGCTGGTACATACCGACTGTTTGAAAAGAAAGATGGGAAAAAGTATCCTTTGCTTAATGCCACTTTTGGCAAGTAGCTTATTGCAGATAAAAAATACACCAAGCACTTGCAGATTATCTTCTATTCCCTGAAATAAAATCTCACCTTAAAAGGCAAAATTTTATGAGCATTTCAGAAATTCAGTAATGCAGAAAACTGTAACAACTGGATCAGAGCTGACTCTAGGAACTGTCTTCTGTAAAGCAATGCACAAGCTCTAAGAATGGGCAAATGTATACCACTATCTGGTGGCTGCTAACAGCATCCAATCGAATTAGGTTTTGAACAGTTTTTTTACTCTTGTGCTCATTGTGTATACATATACTTTGTGCACCTTAAAAAATGTACACAGAAATTACCAGTGAATAATTTATTCTATATTTTGTCTTTTTATGAATTCAGTTCTAATAATGAATGAATGAATTCAGTTCTAATAATGAAAAATGAATTCAAGATTAATTTATATGAAAACATTTTAAATTATAAACTTGACAAAGAAGAATCAAAGAAATACTACTTACTCTAACTCAGTTATTTTAGTTTCATAACTAGTGCTCAGAGATTTCATTTCCATAGCTGATTTTGATGAATGATCTTCAGTTAGTTTCTTAATAGCATTCTGATGAAATTCTAAATACTTCACTCTGCACCTGGAAAACAACAATAAATTTAGCTAATAATAATTGACAGACTAATACTATCAATAATGATGATTATTATAGAAAAAATATAAAAAAATCATTCACACTTTAATAATTAGAGCAATCTTACTAGTTAAATTAAACATATATCTATCAAAACTAAATAATGATATACAATGACGATGCATAAAATTATTAAACTAATCAATGTTGATATAACATAAATCGGTGCATATATTTCATCAATTTCAAATAAATTCAGTTCTATATCAGGCAGCAAAAGAACATATAATTTAAAAACATATAATTTTTAATTACAGATAACAGTTTGTTGATAGAGAGTCAACAGAGATATTTTTCATAATTTATGTACTTAACATCAAAAGAAATACAAATTGCAAAATTAAGTAAATTAATAGTAACAAATTAAAGAGGCATTTAAAAATTTACATTTAGGTTTTACACATAAAAAACAAATGGCTAAAAATCAATTTAACTTTTCCAGTACAAAATATATTACACATTCATAAAAAGTAGTATTGTAAAAATATTTGAATTACAGAGTATGAAGTTTTCCAAATCCTGATTGCTTAGCAATATCTTTACAAAATTGTATGTATTTGTAATTTTGTATATATATACAGTCAAAAGTCGTTAATTCGGTCACCCATAATCCGGACCTCAAAGCTACAAACTATCTGCGCATGCGTCGCGTTGACCTTTACCGCTGCGAATTTGTGTGTGCGCTGCGCAAAATACGTTTACGAATGCGCGTTTAATGTATAACGGACGGGATAAGCTAAGCTAAAATTATCTAATTATCTATTTCAGTTAATGTTGCAGATTGTGTTGTTCCTTAATCTTCGAATTGGATCCGGATTATTATTTTTTGCAGACTGTTAGAGTAATTTTATAAAAGTAAGCTTGAACTTTCGATTATGTCAAATAGAATTTCCGATATATATTTACTAATATGTAAAGGATATACAAAGCGAAAGTATCTTTCGGAGTCCATTAAACAAAAAGTGGAATTGCTGCAAGAAATGGATAAAAGCATATCCTTTGTTTATCTAAACTTTAACGTTTGTTTATCTAAACTTTGTTTAACTTTGTTTATCTTTAATGCCGCCGTTGCGTGCAATGAATTGGAAGTTGATCTGTGAGCACTATCCTTATCTTAAGGATAGATGTTTTTATTTTATTTGGCTTATAATTGCTTACTCAATGTAGTATTTCATGATTTAAATCAAATGCCTCGTCATTATAATTCGCTTCCGATAGCGAAGAAAGTGACAGAGGTTATTGAAAACGAAAAAATTTCGATTGACAAATTAGTCGGTATTCTCGACACAGCAATTATAGGACTTGAACAGCGGAACTTTGTAACTGAACAAGAAATTATGTCTGTTTATAGAATTAAAGAGAATGTATTATAACATAAAAAACGAAGCAACTTAAACAACTTACTTTGAAAGAAATGTTTAATAAAGTAAACAAATAAATATTAAGCTTTTTTTTTGTAAATTTTGATAACCTTTATATCTTAATTGTTCTTTATTTCGTAAATTACGGTTTCATATTTTTAATTTTATAATTTCTGCATGCCATTTTACCAGATTTAAACTGATGATCTATAATCCGGAAAAATCGATAATCAGGAATCGCTGAAGTCCCGACGAGTCCGGATTAACGACTTTTGACTGTAGTATCTCTTGGCATTACTTGCATACAAATATATGTAATGTTAAATATGCTGGCAACGTTCACATTTAAAGACACTGTGCGTTGAAAATGTTTAAGAAGTTTAAGCATCCTATTAAACAGAATTCTTTATTTACTTCCAGATTGTAAAAAATGCAATACAAGAGAGATTCATCTTCATATCTGTGAAGTGTATGACTGGATGCCATTAATGACAGCAAAGTTTACAAATGGGTGAAAATATTTAAAGAAGGTCAGAACATATGCGACTATCCATACTTAGGCTGGCAATGCGTAATTACCATTAATCTTGTGTAAACAAGACAACATGAACCATAGAATTAGAAAAAATAATTAATCATTTCATGTTTCAAAACTTGGATTAGAGGAAGTTATGCTCTTCATGAGTTCAGAAAATAATTAACCAGGAACACAAAGTGCAGAGCATAAATGGTGTTTTCATAATTTTGATATCATACTATGAGAAAGAGGATTTTTCTCAGAAATAAGATTCAAACAGTCTCATTTCATTTCTCACTTTATAATGTGAGTAACCATACTTTACCCCTGTACCACACCTCACAGGAGACTGGATTTCATGAGAAATGAGACTTGGCTGTGTCATGTGACCCCCGAATCAAAGCAGAAGCTGCTGTAGTGGTGACATAAGTCATACCAAAGAAGAGTGAAATTCAAACGGACATTCTTAATCTTCAAGTTTACAACAATTCTTAAACAGACTACCTTAACCACAGGCTCAAACCAACAGGAAAAGCTTGTCAGTAAGTCAATGTGTGAGCATTTTTGCAACTTAGAAAATACGCATGTAACGCGTACTTTTTTGAATTAACCATCACAGACACACATAACTTTATTAATGTTTAATTGTTAAAATCCACAAGTCCATAAATATAAAAAACTCAATAATTAAAAACGGTTCTTATAAATTATACACATATTTAATTAGAATTTTCATTTCATCACTCAAGCAGAAGTATCGCTAAATCTATTAATACATTAGAGAAGCAAATATTTAAAATTATGAAGTTATAGAGGAAATTAGGATCCATAAAAAAGTACATCTTTGAGGTTTTTTGATTCTGATTTCTATAGGGAAATAATAATAATAATAATAATAATAATAATAATAATAATAACCAGATAGAGACAAGAAATACACATACAATCATCAACAAAAATACTTATAATTCATTTATAAATTGCAAATGTAAAGATTTATAAGAAGCATGCTCAATAAGCTTAAATTCTGAATTAGATAGTCCATTTTTATAACATGGCTCTTCATTTGTCTCCATGTTTACTTTAATTCAATGAGAGCATCTTCAAAGAGTTCTTGTACCTAAATTTGATAGAAATAGTGTCTGATTTTTTTTTCTTTTCTTAAATAATAGAAAATATTGTTTTGGAGGTTGCATTTGAATGAGGCATTTTTTTACTATGGCAGCATCCAGAAACATTGAGTTTTTAATTTTTTGAAACAGAAATTGGAAAATTTGAGCTCAATTAAAAATTAAATAAAATAGCACTTGGTTTGTATAACATCTGTTTCATAGTCTTTTATGAAGAGCATTGATTTTCAGTTTCATAGCATTAATTTCTTTATGACTTTGAGAAAATAATGCTGCTTACTACTGTTTTCTTATGCCATGCACAACTGAAAAATCCTCCTTACTAGTACAATGTTCATGATTTACAAAAACTTTAGATACTCTAATGCATGGAAATTCTGTAGAATATGAGCTTTTAAATTTTTGATTTTATGATTTTAGCTTAGTCTTCTGTGGCAGCATGATATATCAACTTAAAAAATTTCCAGTTTACTTACAACTCAAAAGAAGCTGTAATTAAACTGGAAGTATTAGATGTTGCAGTTACCGTATTTGACGGTATATAAGACGCACATTTTTTTCCCTAAATTTGGTCTCAAAAAAGTTACCTGCGTCTTATACGTGAAGGACACAGGTTAACTTTCAATACTGAATGCTATTTTTAGCCCGGATAAAGGTCTAGACACACATAACTTTTTCTAGATCTGCCATAATTATTTTGTGCATGTGTGAAATATCTATCGCCAAAAAGTGCCAAAGCTCGAAGCTGATGTCGAAGTTCGACGGTCACATTACGTCTATGGAGCCTTTCCTTCTTTACATAGACTTTACATAGGTTTACTTCTTTACATAGGTTAAGCTATACAGTCAAAAGTCTTTAATCCGGACATCCACAATCCGGAATGATAGACTTTCTTTGACTCAGCCGACACATGTGTCAGTATCGGTGCTACTCTGTATAAACGTGTCGGTATCGGTGCTTAAAACTATTTGTTTTAAAAAAATACCCTGGAAAATATGACTACAGGAAACAAGAGGTTAAGCTATACAGTCAAAAGTCTTTAATCCGGACATCCATAATCCGGAATGATAGACTTTCTTTGACTCAGCCGACACATGTGTCAGTATCGGTGCTACTCTGTATAAACGTGTCGGTATCGGTGCTTAAAACTATTTGTTTTAAAAAAATACCCTGGAAAATATGACTACAGGAAACAAGAGGTTAAGCTATACAGTCAAAAGTCTTTAATCCGGACATCCATAATCCGGAATGATCTATAATCCGGAATTCAAAGCTACAAACTTTCTGTGCATGCGTAAATGCATTAATGCATTTACGCATGTGCATAATACGTTTACGCATGCGCGTTTAATGTATAATGGATGGTATAAGCTAAGCTAAAATTATCTAATTATCTATTTCAGTTAATGTTGCAGATTGCGTTGTTCCTTAATCTTCTAATTGGATCTAGCTTATTATTTTTTGCAGACTGTTAGAGCAATTTTATAAAATTAAGCTTGAACTTTCGATCATGTCAAAAAGAATTTCTGATTCTGGAGCTACCAAAGAATCTACAAAGCAAAAGCATGTTCCGATGTCCATCAAACAAAAAGTGGAATTGCTACAAAAAATGGATAAAGGCATATCCTTTCATTCTCTAATCATTCCAAAATATGTTTATCAATTTCATGCTGCTCTGCCGAGGGGGGGGGGACGTTGCAGCGCGCAATGAACTGGAAGTTGATCTGTCAGCACAATCCTTATCTTCAGGGCAGATGTTTTTATTTTATTTGGCTTATAATTCCTTACTAAATGTAGTATTTCATTTCGATGTACTCTGTCTTTGATATGATTTAAATCAAATTCCTCGTCATTATAAATATCACAAATACACATCAAATAGTTTTCTGGTTGCAATTTTCTAATTTCGACTATGCGTAACGTATGCTTTATGCATGCACACGTTAAAAGAAATATTTAATAAAGTAAACAAATAAATATTAAGCTTTTTTTTGTAAATTTTGATACCCTTTAGATCATAATTGCTCTTTATTTCATAAATTACAGTTTCATATTTTTAATTTTATAATTTCTGCATGCCATCTTACCAGATTTAAACTCATGATCTATAATTCGGAAAAACCGATAATCCGGAATCGCCGAAGTCCCGATGAGTCCAGATTAAAGACTTTTGACTGTACAATTCAGTATAATCTAGGAGTGTTAAATTATGCCAAAGTGCATGGAAACAGAGCAGCAGCAAGGCATTTGGTCCACCAAGTACCGAAAAAATGATACGTACTTGGCGACTGCAGGAAGATCAACTGAAGACTGCTAGAAAACAAAAACATAACCTTCGATACCCAGCTCCATCTTGGCCTCAAGCATATTTCATGACAGGCAACGTTTTCCTTGAATCTGTGTTTTTTTGTTGTTTCTGCTTTATTTTGTATTATGTTTAATTGTTTGCCGTTCATTCATTTACTCATTATTGAAATTTACATATCTTGTTCAAAATAGCTTGCTGTTTTTTAATTTTCCTTAATAAAAATATGTTTGGTAATTGCATTCAATGATTGTTTATTTGGCTTTTATGAAATGTGAGAACTAAAAGAAACCACATTTTAAGTTACTGTGGTACCCTGCTGTCTCACGGACTATTGAAACTTTTTTTCCTTGTGTGTGGCCTTCTAAATAAGGGTGCATCTTATATGTCAGTGCATCTTATATGCCGTCAAATACGGTAATTAATTTGCCATAATATAACCAAATGGGATCTGCAGGGTAAACAAGCCTTTCACTGCTGGATACTTGAATGTGTCAGAATTTGCTGAATTACAATTGGTTATTCTTTAAAATCAGCAAGATCATCAACTTGACACCTGATGCATGATGTAATGAGCATTTCACCAATCATTGGAAGAATAAGTTGGCTTTGTTTTGAGTACCACTTCTGACCACCAGAAGTTAGGACTTTCTTTCCACAAGAAAATCAGTTTTCCAAAAGTAAAATATCACTACATTTATATTATTACATAGTTCATTTAAAATGGTAATCCTGAAAAACTGAAATTCCATTTTACTGATTTTAATATCTTACTTACAAAGATATGAGAAGAGTTGATACATTTATGAATTGAAAATACCATCAAATGATTATTTATTTGCATGCTTATAAATCACTGTTTTAAATTTGTTTTAAAATAAATACAATAATAAATTTCACAGCCCATTTTATTTAAAATTGATGATGCTGGAAACTGGTACGTTCAGTAAAAATACACAGGATACGTTTAGAGAAATTATAATGAACAAGCAAAGAAACTTACTCCTCAACAGCTTTTATTTTATCATCAGCATGTTGCTTTACCATTTCTAGTTTATCTTTTTGTAATATCTCATTGTTTTCCCTTATTTGTTTTTCGTTGAATAATGCAATCTTTAGCCTACATTTTGCATCCTAAAGAAGAATATTCATATCTTTTAAAATCTAAAGTTTGCATTATTTTTTTAACAATATTACAATTTATACACTAACATTTTTACAAAATACATAAATATAAAATATGGCACAGAGAGACAGACTTTTTATCATAACAATTCATATTTACTTGTGTTTTAATAATCATAAAGATAAAAAATACTTTTATGAAGACTTTAAAAAAGTACTTCGGGGGGGGGGGGGAATAGTAATTTTAATAACATTTTCAGTACTTCTTATCTCTAGCATGAAAACTTTAATGTATTTTATAGCTCACAATGCAAATTACTAACTTACATGAAGTTTCTTTTGCACATCATGGAGCTTTGTTTCCAAAGATCGCATCTTACTTTCATGTTCAGAAAGGGCAACAGTTTCATTTAACGAAACTACTCTTAGCTTTTCTTCTAATTCCTTTGCTTTATTCTAACAAACATAGAGAAAAAAAAAGTTACTAGTTATATAACCATAAGATTATGCAAGCTCAAGTTTTAAAAAATTTTCTATCTAGCACAATCTGCTTGAAAAAGTAAGCAATTTATAAATTAGAAAAATACAATTAAAAACAATAAAAGCTTGGAATAATTTGCAGCAAAAAATGCAGTGAGACGGTGAAAACTCCATTCCAGAGAAACAGATTTTGAAAATAAAATATTTCAAGATGTACAGTTTAAAAAGATGTGTTTGTTATTGGAAAACTTTTGCCAGCTAAAAAGCATTTTTTTTTTTAAATAAAGGACCAAACAGTATACATTTGTTACAAGCTTTCATTAAGTTATGCTTCAGAATAACACTGAATTAAAAAAAGAGGGGGAAATTTAGCAACAGAAATTAAAATTTATATATTGAAAAAAATAATATACAATTAAAATAAAATAAAGGGTGAGTAAAAAAGACTTTCTTTGATTAAAAAAAATACTACACAAAAAAACTATTATAATTAGACATATATGCCTTTTTTTTTTGGAAATGTATGTCTAATTATCAAAGAATTTATTGGAAATTTATTATTAGTATTATCATTATTTGGAAATATCTGTCTAATTACAATATTTTTGGAAATATTAATTGCAGTAATTAAGCTTTTTTATGAACAGTACTACATTAATAAATTTCAACATGTGCTTTCTTTGTAGCTTGGAGAATGTCAAGTTGGCATTCCAATTTTTGCTGCATGTTCTTCAATATTTGCTATTTGAGAATATATGTCAGTTTTCTCATTTGATTAATGAACTTCATCAATACAATACTTACCCACTTCAATCAGTGAAGTGACACGGCAAATCTGGACAGAACTTCATGAACAGAATGTGGAGCCAATATGAGATGGCTTAAGTAATATACTGACAATACCATTTTAATCCTGCTCCTCTGGACTGGGCATTTAGTAGAACACAAACACTTGACACTCTAATGTACAGTTTTCAAGTGAAGCCTTTGCTGTTTAGTACTGGAAGATATTGTCTTATTGAACAATTGTTTGACTTGTTTGGAATTATTTCCAGATTTGAGAAACTACTGAATGATCAATTTTCTCCCCCCCAAAAAAACGTTATCTTTGATTGAATGTTCCACTTCAATGCCAACAGCACACTAATGCTCACTATTTGCTGCCGGTCTTCTTTCAGCAATAGAAACAATCATAAAGAATGATTCTACAGAAATTCTAAATGTTTCAAATCAGCATTTAAATGCACCTTGTGGTGTAGTGGCCAAAACCGCTATGCAAACCCTGGGTTGTGACATCAGGTTCAAAACAAAACACAGCATAAATATTTTATTGAATGAAAAAAAAAAAAAAAAAAAAAAAAAAAAAATTGGCTACATACCATTTGACAACAGAGAAACTTACTATTTTAAAAAATCAAATTCTATACATTTTACATGCGAGAGCAATTTGTGGCTCTCGAGCTTGCGTTTTTTAACATTGCCATTGATTTAATTTTTTTTAATAAAGACTATTTTAATAACTATTGAAAACGTATTTGTAAGTTAAAAAAATAATAATAATTTTCAGCTTATTCTCACGAGACATCCTTGTCCATATTAATCTTCAGTCTCTTCTTCTTTTATGTGACCTTATCACAACTCATAAAGAAATCATAAGGAAATCCTCATAAAGAAATTTTTCTTGACTATGGAAGGAAAAATTCTAAATACATTTCACTGCTTTTAAAACACAAGTGGTAACCATTTAAGTGATAATAGAGAAGCCAGCTACATTACCCTGCACTTATTTCTAGATAACAAAAATGCAAAAATACAACAAAAAGATTTAAATTTTCAATCTACACAAGGTACCTTTTCAGTTTACAAAATGCTAATACTTAACATTTGATTCTAACCATTTTGAAAATGAAACACACTATGCAAACAAATTTACATCTACAAAAATATAATTCCAAAACGCTACAAAAATCATTTTTCAAACAACAGTTTACAGAACAAAAAGGACTGGCTCCTCCATATACTTCATATGCTAAAGTTTCTGCTGTCCGTAGATCTGCTCTCGAATAATCAATCACTGAAATAAGACACTCTTCAACATTTACAATTATATTTGGATGAGGTCCCAATTTCTTTTTCTTGACTTTATGATTTGTCAGTTCATCCAAAGAAAACTCGCCAATGACTGGTAATGTCTCCTTATACATTGCACGCCATATAGCATATGCATTTGATTCAGCATTATAATTGAACATCATTTTTAGAGCAAGGTTATTTGGAAGCAATTTTTCAGAAGAAAACGTCTTGATAGAAGTGGGTTTTTCGAATATCGAATTCTGCAGACCTTGTGTTCCTTCAGTATGCGATATAATAAATTTTGTTTGGTGTTGAAGATTATCATAAGTTTCTGTTGCTTGTGCTTCCGGGAATTCTGCTGGCGAAACATCCGCAAGGATAGACCTTTCTTATAAACTGATGTCTGCAATTTTGATTGCCTCCTCCGTAATACTGGTTAACTTCCTTTTCTTCCGAATGCTCATTATTGACGGCCCCTTTCACTCTTTATCTCTTTCTTTTCTTCCGATCTGGAATCGAAGTCTTTTGCACTCGCTCTCTCTAAACTCCTGCGCGCATGTGCCTGACTACGAGTCTCCACAGCATTCAAGAGAACCGGTCGTTCCCTAATTTCCTCAAGCAACTGTGCAGTTTTATTCCCTAACAAATAGTACTCTTTATCTAACTCTATCGGAATAACTGCTGCCTTTGTGGTGACCACACCAAAATCACCTTCAATGGTGACTTTCGCCAAAGGTAAACATTTACATTCTGTATCTAAAGGCTGTTTCACCCATACAGTTTCCCCTAATAAGTCACTAGTACTATTACACAGATCTATACCAGCTCCAGTATCTCTCAGATATTCTCTCTCTATCCCATTAATTACTGCTTTCTTAAAATACGGCTCAAAACATTTTCCTAAACTCTCCGTTCCTAGATTATTCACCGGATTAGAATTATTCTTTTCCAGCGATGGACAGTTAGGTCGGATATGTCCGTCCTTTCCACATAGCTAACACCTTATTTTCCACTGTTTCTCGAAACCTGCTTCATTGAAAAATTGCTTTTTTTTAGGAGCCTCCACTTTTCTATGCTCCTCTGATTTAATTCTTTGATGACCACTACTTTTCTGATTATAACTACAGTTAGAATTTACATACCGCTCTCTATCTTTCTCAAATGGTTTCTATTAACCCCTTCTCTCTGTTCTAACTTCCTCGTATCTCTTCGCAAAGCCTTCATACTTGTCGCATTTCTCTGGCTAAAATGGAAGCTGTTTTAAATTTCTTCCCAATTGTCTAAATAGTGCTCTCTTATTTCTAGAGGGACTCGCCGCTTAATTTGCTCAGTGAGCATAAGTTCCTTAAGACTTTCAAAATCTTGAACTTCTACTGAATCCAACCAATTCTCTAAATACACTCTCAATTCAATACACTAAATCCACCCATAACATTCTGTTTTTTCTAGAATGTTCTTCAAATTTTGTTTTTAGTGCCCAAGAACTAAGCTTGAATCTCTACATTAATAATTTCTTAACATGCTGATAATCTTCCCCTTTATCTGCTGGTTCTCTCACTATTAACTGGGCTACATCATGAGGTAATAAAGGAATTAATTGCGAGACCCAATCAATCTCATTAACGTTCTCTTTTTGAGCTTGTTTCTCAAACAGCATAAAGATTAATGAAATATCTATATTACTCGGTTCAAAACATGGTACTAGATCTTTCAAATTAACCTTTTTTTCTCTAGATTGTTCAACTTTCGAAACCGTGGAAGCTAGGCTATTAGTCTGAACCACATTCATCAGTTTTAACCTTTCCAATTAAAAAACTCGCTCCCGCTCCCGTTAAGCTCTCTCTTGTTCCTGTTCCCGCTCTGCTCTCTCTTGTTCCTGTTCTGATCTCTCTTGTTCCTGTTCTGATCTCTCTTGTTCCCGCTCTGCTCTCTCTTGCTCCCGTTCTGCTCTCTCTAGTTCTGCTATTTCTTCTGCTTTTCTCTGCTCAGCCGCAGACCAAATTCTTGCCGCGTATTCTTTCGCAGCTTCTTCTTCATAGTCCTCGGCATTTAGAATAGCCTGCCTAATTTCTCTTCCTCTATTTGCCTGAGACACATTTGTTTCAAACTCCTCCGCTAACTCCAATAGCAGAGTTTTAGTAAATTTCCTCATATACTCACCCATTATGGAAAATTAAAGAAAAATAACCTACCCAGAAAAACAATAACACAAAAACAACATGTCTATTTCTTCAAAACTTGAATTAATTCCCTAACAATTCTGAACAAAAAATTTCCTTACAACACTTAATGATAATACCTATGCCTATAAACAAAAGCGTATATAAAAAAATGCTAATTAAGAGGCAACTTTTTCTTGCTCTATATCCAAAATAAGCCTAGTCTCGAAATAACTGGCATAACCTCTCCAAAATTCACAAAAAATGGTAGTCACCAATTTTGAAGATGCCTTCGATTGACTCTCCTGGCACTACTTGGATAATCTTCCGGGAAATTTCACTATTTTGCGGCACTAGATCACACTTCCTCCGGCGTTCCCTTCTGACACACTGTCACTTGTCACTGAAGAGGCTTCCCCACGCGAACTGTCCTTGCACGCAAAATTAGATCGTTCTTGAAGAGAAGAAAGTCTTTACTGTTCACATAAAACTCAAGTGCACAGGCGAAAAAGTCATTTCCTAAATTTACTCTCAGGAACAATCCCTAAAAGCTGCCACCAACTTTTAATATTTACTGCTGTGGTGTATTGGCCGAAACCGCTCTGCAAACCCTGGGTTGTGACATCAGGTTCAAAACAAAACACAGCATAAAAATTTTATTGAATGAAAAAAAAAAAAAAAAAAAAAAAAAAATGGCTACATACCATTTGACAAGATAGAAACTTACTATTTTCAAAAATCAAA